GGGCCCGGGCCACTTCGGCCTTAGGGTTGAGCGCCTTCACCGCCGACATCTTCTCCGCCGGGCCGAAGAGAGACAGCCCGCCGGCGCCGCCCCTCCCTTCTAGAACACTCCGCCGCGCCGACCCCGCCCGCCCGCCGTCCATTGGCCGAGCCGAGCCGCTGGCGTTGCCATGGGGCCGCCCCCTTGTCATTCACTCCAAGTGCCCGCCTTCTGCGGAGGCACGCCGGCCGTTGCAATCCGTTAATATGGAAATCGTATTAATCACGTGGGAACACGTTTCGTAATATATGCAGAGTTTATGAATATGTAAAATGTGGCCCCTACACAGCCGTGCCTTGTCGTGATTGCCCACAGGCGCACAATGTCTTCTTACAGTCGCCCCCTTGTCATTCACTCCAAGTGCCCGCCTTCTGCGGAGGCACGCCGGCCGTTGCAATCCGTTAATATGGAAATCGTATTAATCACGTGGGAACACGTTTCGTAATATATGCAGAGTTTATGAATATGTAAAATGTGGCCCCTACACAGCCGTGCCTTGTCGTGATTGCCCACAGGCGCACAATGTCTTCTTACAGTTCTAGCTAGTTTTGAAATAATTATAACAAATAACATAGTTATAAGGGTCACAAATGGCTGACTTGCCTCTAGGTTATTAAGGTGCATATTATGGGCTTAGTCATGACAATCTCCCACTTATTAAAATCACAGACTGGCCTGAGTTAGAAATTAGACACTTTTTGAAATAGTGGACTCATATTTAAATTAATTAATGTTCAATAAAAATAGCTCAAACGCTGACTTGGTTCTCTCTCTGCTACCCTTGATGTGCTGCTCAGAGTAATAAGCAAATATCCAGTATTGCCATTCCCCAATGTTAAAAAATTAAGATTCAGGTTCCAAAAACCAGATTTGCTTTAAAGTCCTGAAATTTCAAAAATAATAACATTCGAGTTCTTTTTAATGGCCTTGAATTCTGAAACATGGGCTACGTCTACACTGGCATGAATTTCCGGAAATGCTTAAAACGGAATACTATTCCGTTTTCAGTTTTTCCGGACAAGGAGCATCTACATTGGCAGGCTGCTTTTGGGTAACTCGGCAATGGTGATAGAACAATTTTTAGGATGGGGATACTGAGTTGCACCCCTCCCCACACCTGTTCATGCTCCTCCAATGGTTGCGATGTCAACTCTCCCTCATTGGATCGACTGGATGACATTTGAGGCAGTAGTGTCCAGTCCATGCAGGCCAGGAGAACTGGCAACCCTAGTTCCTCACTGCTCCCAGATGGGGGCCAGGCCTGCCAACAGAGTGGTGAGGGGGAAGACAAAGGGCGCAATTGCCTGGAGCCCAGCCATGCAAAAGGCAGTGGCGGCAGACAGAACCCTAGGCCTTTTAAATTGCTGCCAGAGCAGCGCACCACTTGCTCCAGGCAGCCCTGAGGGCTGCTTAGCTCCAGCCTCTCCCCTTCTTCCCAGGGCCCTGCCCTGTCCGAGGCCATGGAGCAGGGCCCCTTCCCGCCTTTGTCAGTAGCCTGGCGAGGCTGTTAGACTGCTGCTGGCTGGGGGCAGAGGCTGAGCCCTGTGCTGAGACCCCAGGTTGGCTACTGGACCCTGGGCTGTCACAGAGCCTCCAGGTCTGGTGGCATGGATACCAGGACAGCCAGGGCTGGTGGGATGTGGATGCAGGGGCGGGGTCAGCAGGCAATAGGACCCCAATGACTGGTGGAGCCTGTCAGGCTAGCAGGCAGTGTGACACCATAGGGAGGGGCAAAGCCAGTGAGGTTGGCAGGACCTTAGAGGCCTGGTTGGACCCCATGGGGACCACCAGTAAGCCAGGACCGGGGACAGACAAAGCCCCCTGCACTCTTATTTTCCACTCCTATGTAAATAATTCAGTGGGGCTGGCCCATGTGCTGGGTGCAAAACCTGGGGGTGCTGCAGCACCTCCCTGCACTCTTACTTCACATGCTATGTGAATATGAAGACTTGAAACTTGATTGTTTTAGGGGTAAAGGCTGACATTCTCAGGTAATCACAGGACTTCGGGAGCTGGGGTTTTAAGAAAAACAACAAATACTGCAAGACTTGAGTCCTTGCAATAAAATCACGAGAGCAGGCAAGACTGAATGTCCTCAGTGGGGTGTTCATGATAGAAAAGTCTACAGATTAACTTTTCAATAGTGCCAAAGGGAGTTAGGAACCCCCTCTGGTTAGGAACCTAATTCACTTAGGATCCTTTAAAAATTCCCGCCTCCATCCTCAGTGGAATTATTTTTTGAAGTAACCCAGATTTTTAAGGTATTTAGACACCTAAAGATGCAGATGGAAAACCTAATGTATTTTTCAAAAAGCCCTAGGTGTCTAACTCTCATTGGCCTTAGGCATCTCTCTGCATCTTTGGGTGTCTACATACCTTTGAAAATCTGGTCTGTCCTCAGTGAGACTAGTCACAATAGAAGGCACAAACTTCTGAACGGAGTAGCTAACATTCATACATACATGAGCTATAAACTTTCATTGGGAGAGATAGGATGGCCTAACGATTGGAGGACTATCGTTGAATGAGGGAGACTTCTTTGCAATTCCCTGGTCTTGCCATGGACGTTCTCTGTGACCATAGGCAAGACACTTAATTCCTTGGGCCTTCAGATCTCTCCATATAAGGGATCCAAAAGAAGAGACAGGTGCCATTGGAATAATATTGCTCATTGAAATATCATGATATAATGCATCCTTGAAATGATTCCATGATACATGGATACCTCCATTGTGATTGCAGATACCACATTATCAAATGTAGTTAGGTGCCTCTGCCATCAGTGAGTCTAGCTATAGGTAAGGTGGTGGTCCTGTGTGTCCATACAGCCAGGAAAGAAAACAAGCACCCCTTTATAATTCCCAATTCAAGATAAGCACATTGTAGAGGCAGCAGCTCCTGCAACTTTCCACTCCAGCCACTGCAACATGCTGCCATTACAGAGAGATGTAAACTATCCCAGGTGTAGGGCTGATGTATGGTATGTCCATCCATGCATCAGAGAGGAAGCTGTGAGAGTGAGTGAGGTGTCATTCTACCTCACAAGAGGATCTCCAGTCTGATAGTCAATAATGATGGACTACTTTGGTGATGGGCTCATGACAGAGAGGTCTAGACTAAGCACTACACCTGCAGTGTACACACTTCGCCCTTAGAAGAACTACTTGCAATAGTATTCTGATGATAGAGAGAGAGCAGGATAAGGGAGTTTGGGGAAACCTGATTGTGAATGATGGAGTTAGGTTTTGGAGCGCAAGAGTTTCTATGCAAATGGGAGGTGACTACCTTCTTTGGTTACTGACTGTTTTTTTATGCAGTTGGTGGCTGAGCATCAATGGGAAATATATCAGCATGTCTGGACCGCTGTGGTTTTGCTGAGTTGCTGGCAAGTTATTCTAGTGAAGAAGCCCATATAAAAAATACTAGGTAGGCTTTCTTTATCATTGCATTCATCTTTTTTTGAATTAAATTTCCAAAATGCAGGAAATTGCACTAGGTATCTCAAAATGTACTAGCAGAGGGCACCCCTGGAATTCTAATTTTGTTTGTCTGTTGTGTGTATGTCTGGCTATAGGCCAGGAGAAATACTGCACAGATAACTTTTGCAATCCCTGTCCCCATATATTCTGCCAAGGAGACTTCGGACTCCTGAATCCTCCATGCATCTCTGACACTGTCTCCCAAAGGATTCCACAGTCCAAGTGTCACGTGCAAATATTTTGATGTGCACTTTTATTCATGGTGATTAGCAGACCTAGTCTCTAGCTCAGTAGTGGGCAACCTGCAGCCTGTGGGCCACATGCAGACCGTCAGGGTTCGCTAATTTTGGAAACCATTATAATTGAAAAATCCACAGAAATGATGCCAATATAAAACACTAGCTAGCTTCAACACTTGTTAAAAATGGTGTACATTTGTAGTGACCACACTCATTTAACTAGAGCCACCTCAAATGTATATAGGTATAAAGGTTGAGGTTTGATCCTGCAAGATGCTGAGCAGCTTTTTAGTCCTGATACAGCAAGGCACTTAGGCATGTGCTTAACTTTATGACCGTCAGTAATCCCACTGAATTCAGCTCTTCAGTTTCTCAGTACTAACTCATTTGTCACTAAAATGCATCCCAAACCCTTTTAAACGAGATGTTCTAGACTCTGCAGATCTAACTTTTCTATTCAGAAAAATAATCACTGGCAATTTTGGCTTACGGAAGGCCTGGCACAAAGGGCCAGATTCCATGGCAGCTACCTCACTTTACATCAGCTGAGGATCTGTCCCCAAAACTCCACACACACCTCAAAATTTCTTCTTATGTTTCCGTGTTCATGTGTAATATGTACACTGTAACACTGGCCTGTCAAATCCTTTTAAAACAAATTCATCTGAACTGTAGGTTTGAATTGGTCAAGATAATTTAGTGAAAGGTCCAGCCTAGAGGGGAAGGGGGCTACATTAATCTTCAGATAGGCCAATATTTCTGACATCATTTTGGTACCATGTGTCTTTTAATTCAGTTCAAGCTGGACAGTGTAAAAGATCAGACCCTCAGCCGGTGTAAATCAGTTTATTTCCACAATTCTTTTTTTTTAACAAATATAAACAGCGTTATCCTTAGTGCAGGGGACAGACTTTGTAGCAATTATCCCCCGCCTGTGCATTAAAAGGCATAGTAACCCTGCTGGACCTCTGCACTTGCCATCCTTACATCCACCTCTTTGTGGTTTTGTGTTCATTTTGCCGAGGCTTGTTGGTTCTCACACTGTACATTTATGTGGCACAGCGTGACAGAAGCAATTCTCCGCCCCTCTTTGCCCTGCTCTCTCTGCCGGTACATCATTAGCCAACCAGGGAGCTAGCAGGGCTGAGCTATAGGGGCTCCTCCTCCAAAGGGGGCAGGATTGCACCTCTCTTTACTAAGTCTGTCAGCAAACAGCTGAACACCTCTAGTTTCAGGCATGTAACGATTAAAAATAGTCATGCGTACTCAGCAGATTATAAAGAGCTGTTGGAAAATGCAATCTTCTTCCTGATCAGCCCTGGCCTTTGTTTGTAAGTGATCAACCATCCCCTCAACTGATCAGTTCTTTTCCTGCACAGCCAGGAGGTTTCCAGCAGCAGCCACAGCAGCCACGGGCAGTACAATACTGTAAGTCGCCGGGATTGGTTTTTTTCTTTCTTTTTAGAAGGGGATGTCTCTCCGCAAGCTCATATTCATCTTGCTTCCAGTTTGTTTTCTAGTGCAGACACTAGTGATGGACTTAGTTTGCACAGAACCCTTTGGGTATTTCTTGTCGTTGGTATGATTGTGCTCTCACACAAGATGCACTGATAGTGAGGTGCCTGTTTGCAACAGGAGCATAAATGAATGATGCAATCCCAGAGAGGGGAATCATCATCACTTTGCCAAGAGATGAAAACACTACCCACATTGTTGGGGAGGGGGTCCTAGGTTTATAGCTATGCCATTTGATTTTTGCCTTCTCATCTATTTAAAAAAAAAAGCATTTAAAGCAATTTACCGCTGTGTGTTGCTGTCAGACCACAACTGACAGTAGCAAGTAACCCATCTATTGATTTAAAAACTGAACAGAAAATCAACGAGTTGAAGAAGACTCAATGTTAGGAAGGCCTGGGTCCTTTAGTCCTGATGTACCCAAAACTCCCAAGCACTGTTACTATTTTTAATTATGATTATTATTTGGTCTTTTAATATAATTACAACTAGTAATAATTTGCTCAAATATAGCTCCTTTTAGCTGGAGAGCTCAAAGTGCTTTTCTAGCATTGTGAATTAAGCCTTATAACAATCTTGTGAAGTAGGTATTTATATTCCCTTTTTACAGATAGGGGAATTGAGACACAGAAGAGATTCAATGATTTGCCTCAGACTAACATGCAGACCAAACCAGCAGCAACTGAAATCTATGGAGAGAGACACATTATCTTCCGCAAAAACTTCTTGCGCAAGAGCTCTTGCACAAAAAGGAGTTATTCCTTGTAGAAAGAGGAATACCTATGCCACAAAAACCCGTTCTATTGATTCACTGTAAATTTTCTTGTGCAAAAATGCACTCAAGGTGTGGATGCTCCACGAGTTTTTGTGCAAAAATAACTGTTTTTGTGCAAAAACTCTGCAGTGTAGACATAGCCTTAGTTTTTTCTCTTCGTCATTATCTTTCCTTTCCCGTAACTGTTCTCCTTTGCTCTTCTTTCTGATTCTCTGAACCTTTACTCTCTTCTCTTAATTCTTCTCTAATCACTCCATTTCCCCTGGCTTCTCCTCTTTCCTATTTTCTTCTTTCACCTTTTTGTCCACCTTCTTCCATTCACTTATCACACTTGTATGAATGCTTGCTGTGTGGATATGTTTCCAAAGTTGAAATGACAGAATTGGAAGTCTACCCTTCCTTCCAGAATTCAAATACTAGAAAGGCTTTTCCAATTTGATTTACCTGCATTTTTAATGTGGAGATAGGCAACCTGATTTTAGTTGTAGTAATTAATCCTTTTCTGTCTAGATTGCACAAACCTCAGTGCATCTGTCCTAGTAGATTCTATTTTCTCAGTGCAATTGATCTTTGTAAGCCTTAGATTACATAACCTCTTGGACCAAGAGCCTCTGGAGTAAAGCCAGACATATGTGATAGTTCCCCATTCTTCTCTTCTTGGAAATTTGACTAAGTTTCCCATTGTCCTTCCACTCTTTTTGAGATCTCATACACCTCAGGTGTTTCCAAACATCACTTGCTTGTGAATAACCTATACCATCTACATGTTTTCTAAGTCTTTAAAGTGCTACCAGACTATTTGTTGTTTTTTAAGTTTAACTCCTTCCTTGCGCAGGCTGGTTGAACTCCACCTCATCTGAGGAACCGCCAGAGAGAAAGGGGCAGCACTGGAGAAAAATGAGATTAGGAACCACCTCTGTCTATTTTCTTCAGTCAGGCCTGCCCCAGGGAGGAGGAAGGGGGCAGTTGTCCTGGGGCCTGGGCCACCTAGTGATTCAAAGGGATATGGAGCTCCCAGCCACTACCACGGTTACTGAGGCAGTGGCTGGAGCCATGGCCTTTTAAATCGCTGCCGGAGCACTGCATGGTACACTTTGTGTGGCTCTGAGGGCTGTGGGGCATGCCATGCTCTGGGTAGTTCTGAGGTCTGGCTGCCCCTACTGTCCAAGGCCCCGCCCCTTAAAAGAGCACAGCGCTGCCCCCCAACTTGCTATGGGGCTCATGGAAGCTGTCAGTTATCCTGCCTCCAGTGTCTCCCCTCCCCCTTCCACATGCTTATGCTCTGTTCCAAGATGTTTTTTAAAGGATGGGGCATGACCCACAAGTAGATCTCCAGGGGTGCATGGTTGGCATGACAAAATCGCTGGCTCAGGAGGGCTTAGGGAGTTTGGGCTGATGCCGTGACTGCTCCCTCTGCCACCTATTGTCCATTACCAGTCATGGGACAGCTCAGTGATGTACCCACGTCCCTGTTACTTTCAATTCCAGGGCTAGGGAAGTAGCTTCAAGATTCTGCAGAACTGGTTCTGTAGCCCTTTGGAATGGTGCTTCCTAGCCCTAGCGCTCAGCAGGCATGGAGGGCAGGAGAGAAAGAACCCCATTTCAGCTGTCAACCCTCATCCACTCTGGCAGCATTGGCTGTACCTACTTAGAAGCCGCTCACTGCAGTAGAACCAGCCTCCCTTCCTCAGGCACCATCTGCCCTGTCCTACAAATCCTCCATCACCACCTTTTTGATCAGCAATACAAAATGCCCCAACAATTAGCCTGGGACTCAAAATCCTAACTGTAGTGTGTGGTGGGATGGTTTTTGCAGATTGCAGACCAAAGAAGATGAGAAACGTTGATCTCAGTACAGCAGTGGCTTCATAGCTGGCCTTCATGTGTTTTTATCTCCATCCTATATCCCAGTCCATCAGGGCCAGCAGCAATGGCTATAGCACAGCAGGGAGTGTCCAGGAAAAGGAGCAAATTGAAAGCGCTGATCCCAGGGAGAGGCAGAACCTGGTTGGCACAGGTGATCAGGGTTTCTGTCTAGCCCATTCCCCTTATCATTCTGAGGTGGTATATCCGGAAATGTATTTCAGGCTGATACTTTATCATCACATGGCAATGCAGTATCATCACATGATGATATTATGTCATAGTGTGATATTGCAATGCAATCTCATGTTCTCACAATGCAGCATGGGAACTTTGCATAAGGATTGATCAGCACTGAGACACCCACAACACAAATATCATGCCACTCCGATGCAACATGTTTGTCTACAAGGGCAAATTTTAAAACTGGCAACTATATTCAGATTTCAATTCTTTATGGACTTCATAATTTTTTGCAGACTAGAAAGATTTTAACAGCATGCTGTCCCCAAAATGTGAGGACATGCTCTTTTAAATTTCATTGCACAATCACACATCACAGCATATGGGTTTCCAACTCTGTTCCAAAAGTTTCCAGTAACAGCATGACTGGGCAGATTTGGAATCAATTTCAAGTTAAGACTGATCCAATGTAAAGATGGAATTCAGTGACATACCCACCTACTGAGAAATCTTAGCTTAGTACCAACCAGTATTGCAAGGAGGTTTATGTTTATTTTCTATAGCTGCATAATGGCGGTAAGTTTGTTTTGCAGGCCACGGTCACGTAATATGGTAATATTAGGTGTTCTTTATCCAAAGACGTAAGTGTAAGTGATGTATCACGAAAAAGTACTTGATGTTATCCGTATTCCCACGTGTGTATAGGCTATGCCCTCAGGGATAGATTGAAGTTGACAGTTTGCCCTGAGTGAGGGACAGTGCATATTGATTCTCTTCTGGGTGGCCACCCAAGTACAGTTTACAGGGAACACTCGTACCCTACCTAAGGGTGGGCAAATAATATTATCCCCATTTTATAGACTGGGGAGCTGAGGGCATGTCTATACAGAGAGTTTGAAACAGCAATAGGTCAAAGCATGGCAGCAGGACCCACACAGCCAATTAGTGTGACGCACGCAAGTGCCCTGTAGATTTACACCCAAGCTTGCAATGCACTAACTCTGAATATGCAATCCCTCAGACACAGAAAGGTGACTTGTCAAAAGTCACACAGAGGTGCACTGTCAGCATGGGAAATAAGGACTAGCGTTTCCTGACTCCTAATCCCTTGCTCTAACTATTCAGCAATGTTGTCTCTCATCTAGTACCAAACCTATCACCTACTGTGCATAAGTTCTGGATGTCTCCCATCCAAATACTGAATCAGCTGAGTCTTTCTTAACCACAAGATCATATAGGCAGGAATATCTGCAAGCAAAGTAGCCAAGTAGTTGACAGTTTTCTGACATGCTGGGCAGAAGTGGGGAAAATATCCAGGAAAAATTAAACAATTAAAAATTAATTACCCTCACTCCCAAGCACCAGCACTTGTTTTAACCATCCCCAGAGCCCAATATTTTCTTACACAGACAAAACATCTTTTGCTCTAATGGGCTGGGAGTGTGATGCTCAGAGCATCATCTCCATTAGCAATAGTGATCAAAGCCCACGTGTGTAACATGTATTTTAAAAGGTCAAGAAATATTTTTTCTGTGGGAACTGGCTCCTTTGTAAGAGGCTGTAGGACGTCTTATCTTCAAAAGATAGAGGAGTACATAAGAGGCAAACAAATCTGCATGCAGTTGAATGTGATGAAAAGAAAAGATGAAGCTTTGTGACCTGACACCAGAGGACACAGCACTTTCCTTTCACCTGGAAAGATAAATCACATGCCCAGATGTATAGGCAAAAGACAAGGTGACTGGGAAGCAAACAATCCCAAAACAAATCAGGCCAACTCCCGCCCCAACATCTGAGGTACAGGGCAAGTATAAAGTATTTCTCCCAAATACAAATGACTAAATATGGAATTATAACTTGGATTTGCCTATACAGAGAAAAAGTACAAGACAATTAGGTTATGTCTACACTGGCACCCTTTTCCGGAAATGCTTAAAACGGAACAGTTTTCTGTTATAAGTATTTCCGGAAAAAGTGCGTCTACATTGGCAGGATGCTTTTCCGGAAAAGCACTTTTTGCAGAAAAGCATCCGTGCCAATGTAGATACGCTTTTCCACAAAAAAGCCCCGATCGTCATTTTCGCGATCGGGGCTTTTTTTCTGGAAAGAAATCTGTGCTGTCTACACCGGCCCTTTTCCGGAACAGTTTTCCGGAAAAGGACTTTTGCCTGAACCGGAGCAGCATAGTTTTTCCGGAAAAGCACTGATGATTTTACAGTAGATTGTCAGTGCTTTTCCAGAAATTCAGTGTAGACAGCTGGCAAGTTATTCCGGAAAAGTGGCTGATTTTCCGGAATAAGTGGCCAGTGTAGACACAGCCTTAGAGTAATAGCTTAAGTCTTATGCTGTTTAATATGCAACTGTAAATCTGACCTGCAGAATGAACTGTGCCCACCACAGCCAAGTGAACAGATACAAGCAGTAATTATGTGCCCTGATGGTCTGATTGAGTGACACTTTCAACGTCTAATTTTTAAACATAGTCCTCTGGGGAAAAGGTTGCTGTGTCATGTCACTGTGACTGATGTCTTAATGTGCTGGGTCAAGTTCACTGAGACCAGGCCTATAGTAGGAATACAAAACTTCACCTCTGTACAGATGAATCCCTACTTATCCTTGACTGATTTCTTGCATCATGCCCTGGAGCATTTGGCAAGGGTTAGATGGACAAGGGGGCTGATCCTATGTCCTTCTACAAGTTTTTGGGGTGAGGAGTCTTGTTCCCTTAGATCTGAGAAGGTGAGATAGAATTTAGTGTCACAATCCCTGCAGAAGAGTTAGGATTCAGAGAGTTATTTCATTAAATGTCCCTGCCAAGAGTGCGTCAGCAGCAGGGCCAAATCTCCACTGCTTACCTCCGACCTTGAACTCAGAAGGAACACCAGCAGGCAGGCACCGCAAATCAGCGTCTGAGGCAGGACCCATCGCTGCCCGCTCTCATTAATGAGAGCAGGTTACGTGCCTGCATTCAGCACTAGCTGGCAGGTGACAGTTCAGTGTCTTGGCTCAACACGTTACACATTGTGCAATGATTGTCGGAAAGACCTTCGCCTCCTCTCTTACAGTAGAAAGGTTCCCAGAAGGATGGCCTCCCTCTTGGAGCTGAAGGAAATCTTCCGCAATGCCGATGCAGTGTGCTTTGATGTGGATAGTACAGTCATCAAGGAAGAAGGAATTGATGAGCTGGCAAAGTTCTGCGGAGTTGGGGATGCTGTAGCAGAAATGTATGTACAGTGTTTGCTTATTTATTTAATGTGCATAGCAATCAATAGTAGTCATGACTCTGCTTTATCCCTGGCCAGTGGAATGATATCCAGGATCACAGTAATAATAAATAGCATCAAATGAATACTGGAATAATGTACTGTTTGGAATTGTGGATATATGGGGTCTGAGTCAACATTCATTTAAATCAATGAGCATCTGTCCATTGATCACCAGGCCTTTGCTTTGTTAAAGGACTTTTTGTTAAACTTTGCAAAACAGCAACACAGCGCGGTGCCTTGTTTTGTGAAAGAAAATACATTTTGGGCCATTCTAGTGTCCAATCTTGCACCCTGGGCGCTAATTGCAAATCTCTCATTAACTTCTTAGGGATCAAAATCAGGTCCTTGCTTAAGGAATGCTGGTCCAATGTGGAGAAATAAAGATTTTAGAGCTGGTTCATCCATGTTCATGTATAGCATAATGAGGTTTTCTGGCAGTGCTACCTATCTGCTTTGCCTCCTGGGCCTTCCAACTCACAGCAATTATCTTTAGAAGTAACAAATATCCTCGTCCACTGAGCTTGGGGAAAGTGTCTGTTTGTGGATGCTGTTGATAAATACCTTACAAACCTTCTAGTCGAGTTACCAACAACTCATTAGTTTAGCTTCAGCTCTTTGTAAAGCTTTTTGCTGCCCATCTTATGTATTTTGCCCAATAATATCAGTCAGGTAACGTGATCCTGCCATGTTACGGTGAGGTCCTTCTTTGCTCATTTGTAAACAGAGGTGGGTCTGAACCATCACAAAATTTTTGGAGGGGATTTGAAATCTGGCAGCAGTTCCTAAATATTGTGCAAATTTCTCAGCTCATACCTTTTTAGAATGTGCATACAACAGAGCCTAGAATCAGAACGAATGGAATGTCTGAATAATTCCTCTTCAGTTAAAAGTCTTTGGCTACGTCTAGACTACAAGTCTCTTTCGAAAGAGAGCATCTAGACTACAAGCAGATTTTTCGAAAAAGTGAGCCACTTTTTCAAAAGAGAGACTAGACACTCGCTTTCGAAAATGCACAGTTTGCATTCAATAGCGCCTTTTTTTGAATTAGTACTTTCGAAAAAAGACATTAATTCCTCGTAAAATGAGTTTTACTGCGATTGAAAAAACTGCCACATTCTTCTGATTTAGCATTAATTCCGCGTAAAATGAGTTTTACTGCAATCGAAAAAACTGCCACATTCTTCTGATTTACTTTCAAAAGAACGTGGCTGCATTCTAGATGCCGGTGAAGTTTTTTTAAAAAAAGGCTACTTTTTTCGAAAAAATCCTGTAGTCTAGACACACACACTGTGACAAATCTTCTTCTATCAAGTATAACTGATTTGTTTGGATCTCAATTTAGGACACGGAGAGCTATGGGCGGCTCTGTGACATTCAAAGCTGCTTTAACAGCACGACTAGGACTCATTCGTCCCTCCTGGGAACAAGTGCAAAAATTAATTTCAGAACATCCTCCTCAGCTCACGCCAGGCATAAGGTAAGATGCATTTCGATGAGCCTTCCAAAACCACAGATGGCCAGATGCTGAATTGGTGTAAATTAGCATAACTGCATGAAGTCAGTGGATTTACACCAGGGGGGCTAGCCCTGAATATTTTCTGGCTTGGCTTTTCCATAGTATGTGATGTTCAAATTGGGATGTTACAGTGGGAGGAGTCTATTTCTGTGGACGAGCATCTGCCTCAAAGCAAGCTCTGTATCAGTTGGTACCAAGAGGCATCCTCGTTGGCAGTCTCAGCACATAGAGCATGGACTGAAGGGTTACGTACAATGATCTGTCCTGTAACCTCGAGAAGTGGTGTCTCTAGACCCTTTGATTTCCCTGCTGTCACTCGAGATATGTATGATCTGAAAATAGAGACTCTGACCCTGTGAAGTGCAAAGAGCCTTCACATCCCAGGACTGTCTCTGCCTAGTGGAGTCCATTCTTCAGGGGTATCAATTCACTGCTAAAGTCACAAATGAAGTTTGAAAGAAATCGGGGCTCAGAGTAAGTATAACCGATTTCAACCGGACAGGTCCCCACCCCCCATCCCAAACAATGCAGTAAGCGGCGAAGCAAAGGCTAGAAAACTGTCCTGTTAGCCTTAGCTTTAGCAAGGCTCTAGCTCTACAATACCTAAGAGTGTTTTGAGAATCTGTGTTTTCTTCTCCTTGACTGAAACACAGATTTTCTCTCTCTGCAGGGACAGTAAGACCACAAACAGCATTTGTGTCCTTGTTTGGAATCACATGAGTCTCACTCACCCTCTTCCTTTTTATCCTCCCCCATTGCTCTTCAAACATATTTAATTCTGCACTTTCCTGGCTATGTTCTAGCACTGCCTCCCTGGCTCCCATTTCTGCTGCTTTGCTTTTGTTGGTCTTTAGTTTTAGGGTTCCTTCCAGGTGTTGAGTGCCTTCAACTCCCATTGTCCCATGGACTGAGTGTGAAACTCTTTTGTCTTCAATTCAGCTTTAGCGGATTCCTTTTCTGCAGCTACTGCTTTTTTCTGGAGGAAGGCAATTGCAGTCAAATATTCCTTAGGAACTCTCCAGCAAAAGACACAGCTTGGGGTCAAAACAATGAGGAGTCCTGTGGCACCTTAAAGACTAACAGATGTATTTGGGCATAAGCTTTTATACACAAAAACCCACTTTGCAATATGGCTATCCCTCTAACAGCTCAGGATCAGTGATTCTAAAAGACCTGTTTGTGCTTTAGAAAACTTTAAGCACATTCTCTGTGCAACTTGGTGCTAGGGACTCAAGCACCTTTATTTCTTACATATTGTTGATGGTCTTATTCCCACATTCAAGAGAATTTCTGGGCTGGATATGATCTTATTTGTTTACTGGGATTGACCTGAGGGTCAAAAAGATATAAACAGTTCCCTAGTTCGAACTACCTAGTTCGTGCCGCGTGTAGCCGCGCGGCACGGGGTTCGAACCAGCCGGGATTTAAAAATGGCGGCGCCCGGCTTATGCAAATGAAGCCTGGGAAATTCAAATCCTGGGCTTCATTTGCAATTGCGGTATGCCTACATTACCCTCCTATTTTGAAATAGGAGGGTAGTGTAGACATACCCTGAGTAACTAATTGGCAGTCTGGGTCTCACTATAATACAGACTTGTTACAGCTCCTTTCATACATGCTGAATGGGAGCCTGCGAAGGAAGAAGGGAAAGTCAAAGATTGTAACGAGTATGGTATTGAACTCCAGTACTCCTCTGAAATGAAAAACGATAATGCAAATTGTAGTCAGCTTTGTTACTGAACAACGTAGTTGGGATTCTGCTACTTCTTGAGCCTGCCAGCTATTCAGGGCTGTTGTTGTGTTTTCTTTTCCTATAAGGGAGCTGGTGAGCAGGCTTCATCAGCGAGGTATCCAAGTCTTCTTAATATCCGGAGGGTTTCAGAGCATTGTGGAGCATGTCGCTTTACAAGTGAACATTCCAACAACAAACGTGTTTGCCAATAGACTGAAATTTTACTTTAATGGTAAGAAGTCATTGATGGCTCTTTTTTCTACTAATGAATGTCACCATTTCACTTCCAACTGAAGTAGGGTAGTGGGCTTAAGAATTGAATGGAAAATCAGCACAATGAAATATGAGCATTTTGCTTCTATGAATGGCCTCTCTGAACTGAGGTTGATGGTTCTCAGTTTTTGTGTGTGTTCACATTATAAATATTGTCATCACAAGTGGCACTTGTTGGCTGTCTTAACTGACGGGCCTAGGAAAGAGACATAGAAACTGAACTGCCCAGACTCCCCTTGAAGAGGTCAGGGTTAAAGCAGTCTGGTGAGATACGTATTTTAAAAGTAATGTAAGATGTAAGAAAGAAATGAAGCACGAGTTCCAGTAGTGGCTTTACAGCCAAGGTTATACCCAGCCTGCTTCCTCTCAGTACTGGTTCGGCTATAGACCCAGGCAAGGAATTTGTGAGCCCTCTTCTTCCTCTTTCACTGTCATCTCTGGGGTGTAGGCTGTTCTGAAGATGGACAACTTCAAATTGTTGGGTTGCAGGCTGGCAACTTTCACCAGCACTCGCTCGCCTCCATCTGTCCCTCCACCAAAAAAACAACCCCTTCTTTTCCCAGAACTCCCCTCTCTCCTTCAAACAAAACAAATCCAATCAAAACTATTTCTGGCTGAATGAAATGTTCTTTGGAAGCCCTTGTTTTCCCTGAGACAACAGAACATGCTAGGATAAAGAAACAAGCATGGGTAACAGCCTAGTTATAATAGTAGCTGGTTCTGTCCATTGTGTATCTAGAATAAAAGATCCAATACGTTTGTTTTCCCCACTTTGGGCTGTATTAGGACAAAGAAGCAAATGTTAGAGCTGCTGCGTATGGCAGTTGAGGCACAGAAAGTCACATTCTTTTACATTCTTGCTGTGGTTTGATAATATTTCAAGTCAAGGTTAAAGACTCTCTAAGTAATACTAGAAAAACTTAAAAAACAACGAATTGTCTAGCAGCACCTTAAAGACTAACAAAAACATGTAGGATATGTCTAGACTACATCCCTTTTTTGGCAAAGGGATGTAAATAAGGCCCATCGATATTGCAAATGAAGCCGGGATTTGAATTTCCTGTGCTTCATTTGCATAATAGCGGCTGCCGCTTTTTTTTGAAACGGGGCTTTTTAAAAAAAAACCCAGCAGTTTAGAAATAAAACCCTTTTCACAAGATCCAGTTAAACCTCATTTTTGGAGGAGTACAGGATCTTTCAAAAAAGGGTTTTATTTCTAAACTGCTGGGTTTTTTTTTAAAAAGCCCCGTTTCAAAAAAAAGCGGCAGCCGCTATTATGCAAATGAAGCGCGGGAAATTCAAATCCCAGCTTCATTTGCAATATTGATGTACTTAATTTACATCGCTTTACCGAAAAAGGGATGTAGTCTAGACACACCCATAGATGGTATCATGAAGCTTTTGTGGGCACAACCTACTTCCTCAGATGAATGAAGTATTAATCCAGTTCCAAAATAAATAAGGGATGGTGGTGGGGGGGAGGGGGGGACAGGAGAAAGGAAGAGGAAAAAATAATGAATTAGAGCATGGGTTCCCAAACTAGGGGGAGTGAAGAACTTCATGGGGGGCATGAGGCGACCCAGCCACAAACACACCCGTCAATCCCACCCCAAGTTTTGCTGCTATTTTTTTGGGAGGGGGGAAGCATGAGGGTTTCTCAAAAATCAGAAAGGGGATGTGATGCCGAAAAGTTTGGGAACCACTGAATTAGAGTGTTCAAGTAATATGAAGCTGATAGAGAAGGTACAAGTTGTTCTTAAGTACTCATTGGTTGATCGGTTAAGTCATTAGGATGTGGAAGGTGAGCTAGCCAGGCAATGACTTTATTCATGCCTTTGTGACGGTTCCCAAACTTGTAAATGACGTTAATTTCCAACACTTTCCTGTGTATTTGACTTGTGGAATTGGCCTGAAACAACACGGTGACTGCTTTGAAGCTCAGTAATACTAGTATCAATCTTTTAGTTTCTGCTTTCAGAAACTCAGGTAGCTCCTGAGTAATTCTATTGACTTCAGTGGAGTTGCTGACTTCAGTGGAGTTGTTCTGGATTTCACAATAGTGTAACTGAGCAGAATTGGTTCAGTAGGGCTCATTACTTTTACTTACACCACTGATTTTAATGGGGGGTCATTCCTGAATTATAGCATTGTATCTCCGGGTAGAACTTGGCCCACTGAAGCTGTGAATTTGTGATTTTTTTGCCTTTTCTTAGCACTTCAACATAAGTTCATTGGTGTCTTTCCTGCAGCCTGTTGAAGCAATTGCACACACAGCTCATGTATCTAAATCTTCCTCCTCATATGCTTTCAGGCGAATATGCAGGGTTTGATGAGACACAACCAACAGCTGAGTCAGGTGGAAAAGGAAAGGTTATCAGCCACTTGAAGGAACAGTTTCACTTTAAGAAGGTAGTTATGATTGGAGATGGAGCTACAGACATGGAGGCATGCCCCCCTGCTGTGAGTAGCCAAGAACTGGATTTCCCCTTTAAAGAAATGCTTTCCTATATAACTAAAGCAAATGCTTTCTTGTCTATCTAAAGCAATATATCTGTTTGACTGTTACACAGAATTTAAGGGGGATCGGTAGATGCCTTTTGATATATTCTGAAATAGTATCTTGAGGGCTATTTGTAGCAGCAAAAGCCCTGACCCACTCCAAGAGGGAGGTGTACCAAAGGGCATTCACCTCCCTGTGTCAGCAGGCAGGGAAACAGTGGGGTCACCTCGGGATGGAGCAAGAATTCAGGCCATTCACTCATGTACCCCTTTCAGTCTGGGTTTCTCTCTTTCACTTGCACACGTGCGTACACATACACACGAGTCTGTCTCTTCATTGTGCCATTTGAGCTGGCAGAGCCTTCTAAGATCTTAATGCTTGTCAGCAGTGCAGCAAACATTCACACCTCCAGCTGAAGTCATCACGTCCCTGCATCTCCAGCCCCAGTGCAAGAACCTGAAAAGAAAGATCATCATAACCTGTTATAACCTTACACTATCAATCTTCCTATATCTCACCCAAACTTCTCTTCTGACAGCTCTCTTTGGTTCCTTGACTCACTCCAGCTCCTTGCCTTCCTTCATACTGCTCTTGGAACAGACTCCCAGCGACAGCTAGCCAAACACACTCATTCAGAAATCTCCCAAAAACCCGCCAGTCCAACCATAATCCCATCCAGCTGGTCTAGATTATAGTGTTCAGCTCTCTACCTGCCTTTTAGATGGTGGCCAGCACCTTCAGGTTTACAATCCTTTCGTTGGTATCGTTTATCCTTTTAAAAGCATTGCATGTGCGCACCCCACACACACACAATAAAGCCATATCTTTTGTCACAGTTGTACTGTGATTCCTGCTTTTAGTGTTAGTATCATGGTTCTCCTACACAGATTCCTCGCCAAGATCCATTGATTTATGGTGTTTTGGAGCCATGGTTCTGCATCCTTCTGGTGCTCATGGTGCCTGATACTAGCAGAACAAGAATGTTAGTCTGATAGCTTAGTGGGGTGGGCATCAAGATACTTTTTTGCACCAGAAGTAATTTCTCCTAGGAATGGAGCAGACACCGGCCACCCCCTGGACATGGGAGCTCTCACACAACTAAGAATAATTTAAACAAAGTTAAAATACAACAAAAAAAGTAGCATTTTACAGTAGGTGTGGCTCTAATTTGCAATCTGCTATTATAGTCAGGCACGTTGCTAGAATCAGGAAGCATGTACTTTAATGGGAGCCTGGAATGTGGTCCCTAAATACCATAAAATTCACACTGTGGTATAAGGAACATGTGTGATTCTAGTTCCAAGCGCCAGCATTTGTGTAAGTCTATTACTGTAATGCTAACAGTGGGCATCTTGGCAGCAAGCGTATGCATTGCCATCCCAGATTAATATTTGTTTAATGCCTTAAATATCTCATGAAACAGCAAGAAGCGAAAGTTTAAATGTTGCATTTTCATTTATCTAGATATTTCAGGCTCTGGAAATGATTGTTCTCGGTTAATGATTTGAGCCATTAGTTAATGATTGCTTTTGTTATGTCATATGAGGTGAGTGGAGTTAAAAAAATAGCATGGGTATAATTGTGATATTGTGCATAAACATTCAACTGTGAACTCCTTCTGGACAGTTAGGAGTTCAAGGTACAGTAGCAGCATAAGTCACGGGAATTTTCCTCAGATTTTTCAGTTCAGTCTCACATGTGAACAATCTCACTGTCAAAATTCCCATTGATTTCCAGGATTTCCAAGCCTTTAATCAAATCCATCCCAGCAACACAGAAAGGGACTTTTTTATTCGGGATTTTTGTTATAGTTCATGCAGGATCAACTAATTCTTTTTTTAAAAATTTAATGTATTTACACTGAAAATCCTCATTTCATTAGTAGAAAACTTAATATACAAACCTATTCACTTTTGTTTTGCTAGGATTGCTTCATTGGATTTGGAGGAAATGTAATCAGGAAACAAGTAAAGGAGAAAGCCAAATGGTACATCACTCACTTTGATGAACTGCTTAAAGAACTTGAAGAACGATAAGTTATACAGAAGCATTTTTTTTAACAACAATTGTAGATCAATATATATAATGCAATTAAACATATTTTTGTTTGCGCAGCTGTGCGCTGAATATTTGTATTTGATACTTCCAGATAACTTCCCCAGATGTTCCCTCTTGTACTTGCAGCTCACATTGCAAGTGGTCCCATTCCCATACACTACCTAAACATTGTCTAATCAGAATTTTTATGGGACAATAGATGACTCATCTGATAATCTTCTCCTATGTGGAAAAGTCAATGGATGCACACTCTAGTTTATCACAGCTGAAGACCCATGTTAAGAATTTAATGGTAGGTTAATACTTTATTGGTTTGTGGTTACTTTATAATGTATGTTTCTTCAAATCACTATGGGCCTCATTCTGTTACCTCTATTTCCCTTGGTACATAGAATCATAGAACACTAGAACTGGAAGGGTTCTCAAGAAGTCATCAAGTCTAGTCCCCTGCCCTTAAGGCAGCACCGAGCACCACTGAGCTGGGGATCACCAGAATGACAGGGAGGGAAAGGCATTGGATTTCTGGCTGCAGCCTGACCTACATAAACTAGAACACCAACTGGCTACGGTCCCTGTTAGGCCATATGCCAGCTGAGAGTTGGCCAAACAGCCACATATGCCAACACCCCACTCTCCCAGCCTGACACGGATACAGAGGGCAGTTGGTACAGGGCCCAGCTGTGCTGACTCTGTGTCAGTAGAGAAGTCATTCTGCAAAGAAGCCACGGGTACAGAATCTGGTGCCATGTTCTTGATGTGCATTTGTTTTCTTTGTGGAAACTGAGAGTGACTCCATAGTGAGCTGAAAATCTGCTTTGAAATTTAAAAAATAAGCAGCTGCCATTTGCTAAAAAGCAGTCAGGGCTCCCACTACCAGCAGAGGAATACCCTACTTAGCTATGCAATGTATAAGTCACTAACCGCAGGCACTGGCTAGACAGTTTCAGAGGGTACAACCGTGAGTGCCACTGCCTGTGCACAGTGAATGCTTATTCGCAACGCTCTTAAAAGTTCAGATTTCACACTCCACTTACAGTGGTATAGGAGGGACAGACGTGTACAGCATGATTACAGCTGTGTCACTCCCAGGATATTAGGAGGAGTGCGGGTTGGTCCAATAAAAGATATTACCAGCCCTATGGCATGTCTCAGGCCTAAGTGCATAATTTTCTGCACACAATTCCAAAATACTGCATGACATCAGGAGGAGCAGCATTTTTCCTCCCTGGAAAGATGAGCCAACTCTCACCCAAAGATTTTGTTTGGGTTCCTCCCGTCAAATTTGTTTGTTCTAGGAATGTTAAAAATCATGTAATAGGGTAACTGGTGTAACTGCTGAAAATCTGTGGCTGCACAGTTACCCGCACTGCGGGCTCAGCCACCCCAGGAGGGGGCCACCAGCCCAGCTCCACTCGTGGGAAGGGGGCGTCCCTGCGGCAATGAAGCCACCTTTCCAGCAGTGGAGCTAGCAGATCTTGCCTGCCGGGGAGGCGCTTTGAGTGTAACTGACACCATCAATCAACAAACATTTGCTTATCCGTTAAATAGTTGTTTACCCTCCAACATCCCTAGTTTGTTTGCAAAGTTTATTTGGTGAACACCAAGGAGCCACTAAACTCAAGAGCTGATTTATTTTTGAAAAGTGTTCTTCCCAAACAGACCTTTACTAGTGAGGACTGACTCAGAGGACAACATCCGCTCTGCTTAAGAAATCTGCAACGGTACTTTAGTAAGGGGGCCAGCAGTAGGCTGTTTGCGACAAGACTCTTCAGCAGCCTACGAAAAATACTCTCTCAAATTCATCTGGAAAGAAATCTCAGCAAGTTCTAAGTACAGCTCATGTACAATACGTCTTTTGTTCGGGTAGGAGTGTTTGAATAAGGCAAGAAAAAGCTCTTGCTATTATTCAGTGTTTCTCTGCTCTCCTCTAAGATGCAGCTATAGAGTTTCTAGGCATGAGAGAGTTTTTTGAACAGATATCCTTACAAAAAAAAAAAATCTAACCTCCAAGACAGCAGTTACAGCACTCATTCAGGTCCTGATTCTACAAACACTTATGGGCATACTTAATTTTAAGCATGAGTTGTCAGTCAATGTGCTAATTTAAGCAGGTGCAGAAGGGTTTGTAGAATTGGAGGCCTTAATGTATGTCTAAAAACTTTGATTGTACCTGATATTTCACAAGATTTATTCCAGAGTGATTGCTCTGAAAAACAAGAAAACCATTTTATACTAGGCAAACATCAAGCCACCCCTCTTCCTTGATGGAATTAAACATTATTTAGCTCAGTAAGCAGGTGGCTCTTCTCCTGGCTGACCTGTTTGCTCTGTAAAACATGGAGTGCTGATCAGAGGCAGTGAGAATAGCATGGAATGCTAAGCAGTGAGAATAGCAGCATGAGGAAAGGTTCTAGTCAAACTGCATACAAGATCCATCACAAGAGACCCAAGAAAGTTTTGGGAAACAGTGCAAGGGGTTAAGCTAAATTGCTAGGAGTGGGATAGGAGAAAGTAGGGGAATTTAATGGGCGAAGGCCAGTGCTCGCATATGAAAAATCGTCTCTTCAGTTTATCCTCAAGCACATATTTTATGTCCTTTTCCCTGATATGTTATCTTAGCTGCTTAGATTGTAAGTTCTTGAGCACACAAGCCCTCTTTTACTCTATTTGCATGATGATTTCAAAAATTAGACACTATGTGCTGCCATAATACCAATAATAATAAAGTTAGGAAACTATTAAGTTGAAAGACCAGATATGTATCACATTCATGTATTAGCTAGGCCAAAAAGGCAAGGTTAGTGCATTAGCTTTTCACACGGGGAAACCAAAGTGCAAATATTAATGCCTCTCAACAGTAAAAACAGTACCTTAAAGACTAACAAAACATGTAGATGGTATCATGAGCTTTTGTGGGCACTAGAGGCTTGAGATCTACATGTTTTATTAGTCTTTAAGGTGCCGCTAGACTATTTGTTGTTTAAGTTTTTCCTGTTACAGACTAACTCGGCTAACCCTCTGAAGCTTGTCAATAGTAAGTTTAGGCATCTGGACTGGAGCCTTCCAGAGTACAGGGGATGGAAATTACAGGCTAACATGCAGGATTCAGCCTAGTCTCCACTGTCTAGCACAGCAAAGCCATCCACTAATATCCAGAAATAATCAGGTAGCTCTACTCAAGAGAGGCCTTGCAATAGAATGAAACAAGAATGATGTAGCTCAAGGGGTTAAGACCGAGGTATCAGCAGAACGTTAAAGCTTGCAGTGCCGGTCTCATACTGGCATTGCTCATCCCCCACTCTTCTGAGTATTGAATGTGTTCAATAATTAAAGGCAAAAAAACTCACCCCCACACAAGGCACACCCTTGATAAAATTAGCGTGGATCATTTGCTGCCATAAACTGCAAACAGACATGGGCCCCTGTATCCGATATGGAGATCTGCTGGCTCTCCCTGGGGTGCAGGCCTCCACACCAGGTGATCTAATTGAGGGATCAGAGCTGTGGGCACAGTTCCCATTTCCACATAGTAACACTGCACACACTTGCTACTTATTATCTTATTTGGAAATTGTATGTAAAGAAAATATCACCCCATAGCATGTCTTTGTGGGAGTTATAAGCGTCTGAGAAAAGGCATTATGGCAATATTGGCCATTTCAGCTGAAATACTGTATACTCCCCCTGCCCCTTTTCCATAACAGAAACCATGCAACTAAATGGAGACATATGGTGCCAGTAATATGTGAAAATTAAAAGGATTTTATTGACTGATATGTTATTGCAGAAAACTCATTGAAATGTACAAACTGGACATTCAATATGTGATTTGTACATACATTATATTACAGGGATTTTTTAAACTAGTTAGAATAGACAGTACTGTTTTCACTTACAGAATGGTCATATCATAAGTACTGAAAAAGTCGATATGCTCTAATCTAAAAGTGAAATCAAAACAGAATTGGATATGATACATTGCTTTACGCTAATCATAGTGACTCAACATGCACCGTCATCACACATTGTTTCAGATGTATATACTGCACTGAAACATCTGAAGTCATGATTGCTTATTAAATAAAACCTCTTTTCCTAGCCTTGAGAATTATTTTCAGAAAAACATAAAACAAAACATGTAAAACATGCCCTTGACTGTAAAATTTCACACCACTGTTCCTTGCAAATGTTTATTCGACACTGTAGATCATACAGCCCAAAGCATTGATTAAATGATTCCATAAAGTTAATTCCAGATAGACACCTAGATAGATGTTTCATTTGTTTGTTTCTACTTCAGAGTCATATCAAAATAGAATCCATTATTGTCCGTACATTTATCAACTAGCACCTGATTTGTAACTCATTTTCTGCTCATACTTGCACTTTGATTATAAGAGAAAGTAGTTTAGTAATTCTACTGCATGTTATAATTTAAATATTCTCAGCTACTTTGTAAATTTAGAATTATTTACTGGTTCAATTCCCAATAAAACTGATATAATGGTATGAATTTCTCAGATACAAAGCTTTGTTTTAAATCTCTCCTTTTTATGGGAACCAACCACCATTAATTTTTTGATTAGTAATTATTACAAATACAGTTTCCATTATACAAAAGCCCCCTGAACAGTAACAATGTCCCCAGGATGTAAGTACAGCATTATTTCAACTTTAAAGAGCAGATGTGCAACTCACCCTTTGCAGCTACTGATGCGTTGGCATCGATACAACATCAGGACACAACCTGTACATGTATGCCTGGCTCAACTCGAGATGCCAGTTTCATAGATGAACTGGGTATGTCTGAGTTTTTAAACCTTTCTGAAGGCATACAGTCTTTAGATTCTGGAGAAAAGAGGTTTTTTTTGACAAGCTCCATATGGTACTTTTATGTTTCTTTGACCATGATATATGATGTATACCATCAAATTAATTTAAGACAAATACTTGTCACTTTAATCTACGTAGGCACAGGTAACTCAATAACTTTACTGCAGTGGCGATATCTTCAACGGTATCATGATTCTGGACTCCATTTCCTGAATAAGGGGCACTGAAAAAAAGAAAGATACACTCTCATTTACTTATAAAGATCCCATTAGTAATTCTGCACACTTGGGCTGTGTCTACATTGGCATCCCTTTTCCAGAAAAGGGATGCTAATGAGACACACCGCAATTGCAAATCCGCGGGGGATTTAAATATCCCCCGCGGCATTTGCATTTACATGGCTGCCGCTTTTTTCCGGCTTGGGGATAAGCCGGAGAAAAGCGCCAGTCTAGACGTGATTCTCCGGAAAATAAGCCCTTTTCCGGAGGATTTCTTATTCCTACTTTCAAGTAGGAATAAGAAATCCTCCGGAAAAGGGCTTATTTTCCGGAGAATCACGTCTAGACTGGCGCTTTTCTCCGGCTTATCCCCAAGCCGGAAAAAAGCGGCAGCCATGTAAATGCAAACGCCGCGGGGGATATTTAAATCCCCCGCGGATTTGCAATTCCAACTGGTCTAAACTGCATCCCTTTTCCGGAAAAGGGGTGCAGCGTAGACACAGCCTTGGAGTTGTGCTGTCAAACTATTCTACTAGCTAGCACATGTCAAATCTTTATTAATCCCTAATCACTCTTCCCCTTGTCACTGAAGAATAGTAGTTTTGAGAGATAAAGAAGAAAAAACAAAATAGTTTTTTAAATTTGAAAACAAAAAAAATCTGTTCCATTTCAGCAAGACACGGGTTAGCTTGCAGTTGTCCTGTAATACAGTATTTTCATTGTAATCTGACAGAACAACATTTGAAATATTTAGCATAGTCACATGCCAGATTTGTTATGAAAGCTGTTTCTGATATCAAAGGTCTTCTGGATTCTGGCTCCAAAGTCTACTTTCTCTATTTCGAGGAATCTATTTCATGGGGCCCCAATGTTTCACATGATAGCTGTTACAAAGAAAATCTAATGGCTTCTTTTAAAGCTTTATACAGTAAATAGTGAAATATGTTTGTGAGCAAAAAAATAAATCTTAGAACATATCTATTCCTTTGGCAGATGTTCTTTGGTACAAATATGTTTTTATTCCAACATTTATACAGCACCTACATCAATTTGCTGACGTACAAAAATTGAAAACAGATTATTTGAACAACTGACTTTATAATTTTGTGAAATGCAACCTCTGTTTCCTTTTGTTAGAGTAACTGATGAACACACCAGCAAAATTCAACAGTTATGGCAGAGTAACTTGCTGAAACCAACAACGTGGCGCCCCTGTCCATTTAAAAAAAGTTTACTCCATGGCCCATTTCAATGTAGTTCAGCTCTTACCTGTATAATATACTAGTTCATCCCAGCCATGTTTATGCCATGCAGAATTTCTTGTGTCTTCTCTGGACTGGAGGTCCTTGTAAGCTAGAGGAAAAAAGCACATGCACAAAAATTTAGTACGGAGTCAATGTATTGCTGTCCATAACTATCATACTTTAAAATATTTAATTACATAAGAACATAAGAGCAGCCACACTGGGTCAGACCAGAGGTCCATCTAGCCCAGTGTCCTGTCTGCCGACAGTGGCCAATGCCAGATGCCCCAGAGGGAGGGAACACATCAGGTAATCCTCACGTGATCCCTCTCCTGTCACCCATTTCCAGACAATTCTGTGATTAAAGAGGTTGCAGATAGTGAGAAGACGGGGGCGGGGGGGAAGAGTTAGATTCAGAGGCTTCACTTCATACAAAGGAAGAACTCCAAGACCAGTGGAAAGGGGGAAGGCAGAGCAAGTGAAAGAGCAGGTCTAGTGCTCATAAGGAAGCAATTCCACGTGAATATCCCATGGCTAGAGCACCCTGGGTTTTGCTACACATGGAGCCCTCAGGCAGCTTCTCTGCCTGACATTTACTTCTGGCAACCAGCCATAAGTATTCGTAGGAAGGCCAGTAAAAGTCACTGCAGGTCACTGGAACTTTAAGCTCCACTCCTATGCTGAACAGCACCTTCAAATGGAATAAGATGCAAGTGTGGCAAGGGCAATGAGTAGGCCTAGATACCGCAAGTAAGGCTGCATTCAAAATAGATTAGACCCGTGGTCACCAACAGGTCGATTGCGATCGACTGGTCGATCGCGAGGCCTCAACCAGTCGGTCGTGAGGTGTCCTGTCCACCCCACCCCCGAGAAGCCGCACTACCTACCTCCAGTGAAAATGGAGGTAGTGTCGGCTTCCTGGGGATGGACAGAAGTCCCCGCAGCTTAGCGCCACTTCCAGCGATTCCGGAAGTAGTGCTAGCTGCTCTGCTGGGTGTACTGCTGAAGGGAGCATTGGCTCCCTGCACTGCACAGGAGGGGTGAGCCAGCCCTGGGGGAGGCGCGCACGCGGGGTTTCCCTGCGCTGGGGGAGGGGGTCAGCCCTGGGCAAGGCGTGCGCGCGCGGGGCTTCCCTGCACCAGGGGGTCAGCCCTGGGGCAGGCGTGCATGGGGCTTCCCTGCACCACGGGTGGGGTCAGCCCCGGGGCAGGCACGCACTGGTTTCCCTCTGGGGGCCGGGGAATCCTGAGAGGAGGCAGATGCAGGGGACTCTCTGCCTCCACTGGCACCCCACTCCCCAGCCACAAAACTCTGTCCCCAACCACAGAATTCTGTTCGCCACTCCCCTGTTCCCAGCTACAGAACTCTGTCCCTATTCCTGTCCCCACTGGCACCCTGTCTCTTGCTGCAGAACCCTGTCCTCTGCCCTCCCAGCACCCTGTTCCCTCTCCTCTGCCCCCAGCCGCAGAACTCTGTCCCCACAAAATGTATAATTATAAATGCTTCATTTTAGATTTATAGATAAATTTTAGATAAATAGCATGAATAAAAACCAGACCATTTATTTCATAACTATAAACACGTGATTTTAATTTTATACATCGCATAATTTAAAAATAAACTGTTTATCAGAGTGTGTAAGTAAGGGCTGGGGATAGCAAATGATGGACAGAAGGAGAATAGAGAGGGCGGGGCTTCAAGGAAGGGATGGGGCGGTAGATCTTCGCCTGTTCAGAGATTTAAAAAGTGATCTTGGGTGTAAAAAGGTTGGAGACCACTGGATTAGACAGATAATGCATCACACAGAGACTGGACCTCTGCATGGGTGCTCTAGGATCCAGGGTGCTGTAATTAGGGATGTTAAAATGAGTTTATTCAAGTAAATGTGTAACCACTGA